CTGTCTACAAAAGCAGGGACTATAAAGGATTCCCCCATGTCCTGACAGAAGGGTGCATGGGATGGTGGGAAAACTTGGCTCCATTTCTCATTTCTAGCTTCTAAGGAGGGAGGGAGGAAGACACAGCTGACAGAGTATGGGGCGGGGGGTAGTGTTCTAGTTATTCAGCTCTTGGGCCTGGTCCACCTGGCAGGGGAAGGCCAGGGGCTCCAACAGAGGGCTGGGGCCTCTTTCCCAATTCCAAGGAAAGAGGAAGGTGTCCTTCTTGGCGGCAGACAGTGGCTGGATGCAGGGTTGAGAACAGCAATGAGGAGCACTTCCGTGGAGTGGCAGGGATGCTGAGGGGAGGCCCATGGGGTCGGAGTCAAACGTCAGACCCCACAGAAATGCTGCAGTGTGGTAAGACCTGGCTTAAGAGAACTCTAGAAAAACAGCCCATATAGAAAAGTATGACTCAGGCCCCCAGAGAGCCAAGGAAGTAAAGCCCCTTAAATGAGAGCACCTGGGACACCATCCCCCATGAGCCTACTACAAATGGGAAGGAGATTCCAGAACCTTTTAGATCTCTTTTATCAGAGAGAAGAGGAAGCACTGAGTGAAGGGAGCCCCTGGTGGGGCTGATGCTGAACAGACCGGGCCTAGAAGGACGAGCCTGGCCTGATGTCTGTCAGTGTGGGAAACGGACAGCAACTCTTGGACAAGCCAAGCGGCACGTGCCAGTCTGCTAACCCCCAGGGCTTGCTTTGCCTCCAAACTGAGCCAAGAAGCGGGAGCACTGGAGACAAGACAGGCGGGCCATGCCTGGCAGGGATCTGGCTCCAGCCTGCAGGGGGTGCCATGACACAGGACTGCCCCAAGCTGACCTGTTGCAAAATCCAGACTCTGGAGATGCTAGTTACCTTGTGTCTGCTGTAGCTTCGGCTGGCTTTTTGGACCCTGCATTGCGGACTCAGAGGGTCTTTGGGCATGAAGGGAACAGGCTGAGTCCACTCTCGGCCAGAGCGTTAGAAGGGTGAAGGGCCCCAGAGGCCGGGGGAAAATGTGGCAAAAACCACTTGTGACAGATCTCCAAGGGAAAGGGACTCTTGAGGAGGACTTGGGGTCCTGCCATCCCTTCCCAGAGCCAGGGTCTCCTTTCACTACTTCCCACATCGGAGGTTGACCTAAACTACTGGTGTTCCTTAAAGATGGGGCACATGGGACACCTGGGTGGCTGAGTTGGTTAAGCATCTGCCTTCGGCTCAGGTCATGATCCCAGGGTCCTGGGATCGAGCCCCACATCGGGCTCCTTGCTCAGCGAGGATCCTGCTTCTCTCCCTGCCTGCCACTCCCCCTACTTGTGCATACTCTCTCTCTCTACGACAAATAAATAAAATCTTAAAAAAAGGAGGGGCACAACAGGATGCAATGGTGGAGACAACCTAGGATCTCAGCTGCCTCGTTGGTCCTAGAGCTACTGCTGGGACTATCCAGCCAGCATCCCAGCTCCTCTCTAGCCCACCCCCATCCTGTGGGTTGGGAGAGTGGAAGCTCCAGAAAGTGGTTTGTTGGCAGAAGCTTGAGAAGCATTAACCAGCCAGTTGTTCACAAGTATTTTCATACACCAACTCATTTCAACCTCACAGTAATGTGCAAGAGGTATCAGCATCCTCTGAGAGGGTAAGGTAAGTAACTGGATGGTTAGCCTCCTTGGGCAGAGACCATGCTCTATCGCCAACGCCTGGCATGTAAAAGGTGCTCAGTGTGGAAGGAAAGAAGAGATGGATGGACATGTCCTAGGTCACCTGACAATGATAAGTACTGCTGCAAAGGAGCTTCGTTCAGCCTCCCAACTCAGACCCAGTGCTCCTTCCAGCCGGTCCCCACTCGCTTGCATTCAGGGTGCCTGCGGGGATGGGGGTGGCCGGAGGCCCGAGGGCTGCGAGGTGGGGAGGGAGCGGGCTGTACGCGAAAGGCCCCCCCCTTCCCGCTTCTCTGGATACCCTGAGGCGTCTTGAGGGGTATCCAGAGCGCTCTGCAGTTTACTCCCTCGGGGTCGGGGCCCGTAGGGAGCTCCGCGTGACAAAGACGAAAACTGAACTCGAGGCGGCCGCTCCCTCCCCCCGCTCGTCCCCTCGGGCCCCGGGACAGAGAAGGGCTGAGCCCCGAGGCCCCCCGACCGGGCACCCCTCCCGCGGGAGACGGCGGCCCCCGACCGCGTGCAGCCCCGACGGCCGCGCAGCGCCCTCTGGTGCCGGGCAGCGGGGCCCGGGCCGTCCCGCCTGCCGGCCCGCCGGCGACGCCGGCTTCCCGCGGCTGTGGCCGTGGCCCCGCGCGGGCTCCCAGGCCCGGGGCGGGATTCGAGGAGGCAGGAGGCGGAGCCCGGCGGGCGGGGGCGTCTCCGAGAAACTCGCGGCCTTCGGCGGCTTCCCGGCCCGGGAAGTGAGCCGGGGTCGAGAGGCCGCAAACAGGAAGTCGGGCTGTAACAAAGAGCGCAGGGGGGCGGGGGGGGAGGGCTGCGGGACCTCCGGGGCGCCCGGCGGCGGCGGCAGGTGGAGGGCCGACCCGGCCAGCGCGCCGCACCTGCCTTTTCCGCCGCGCCCGGGGCTCCGGTTCCGCCGGGATCCGGCCGGGCCACGGGGCCGAACCGTGCACCTTGGGCGCGAGGGAGGGCGCGGCCACGCGGGGAAGGCGCATCCTCTCCCCGGGAAGGGATAGTCACAGTTCCCTGAGTGAATCACTTCCATCCCCTTCCCGGAATGCCGCAGGCCACGTGGGACGGAGGGCTGGGTTCGCCGATCCTGCGGGACCCACGAGGACAGGCTGGGAGAGGTGCAGGGAGGGGAGAGCCCCGTGTGTGGGTCTCGGTCAGAGCTGGAGCATCCATCCGTACTGCCTGAGTTTAGTGGCCTTATTTAGCCTGAGCTGGGGGCGGGGGCGCGGGCGGGGGGGGCGTTGCCGGATAGGAGCCACTGGCTTTTTGTTTCTTACCCCCTAACGAGTCTGACCGCGGCGCTGAGGCAGGAGAGGCGGCCCCGGTGGAACAAGCAGGATAAAGGCATTCCTCCCTTCACAGCCTCTTCCTGACTCACCTCCCCACCCCACAGAGATACCCAGGTGGTTAGCAGCCAGTGGGCCCTGGAAAAGCAGCTGTCCCCAGAGCTGGAGTTCACCATCGGGTCAGATTAGCCTTTAGGCTGGGCACTGCCTCCAGGCTGTTAAGGAGCCATGAAACTCTGAATTCTTTTATGAAATACTCTTAACAAATTAAGCAGGCATTTGCTAAACCTTGGGGAGCACTTCCCAGTGCTTTGTTTGGCCTTATTTCTGCCAAGCCCAGGACCTGTCCCGTATACCTGGACACCCTCTCGGGAAAGCCTGGGTACCTTACCGACGAGAAGCAGCTGCGCCCTCTGGGAGTGGCCTCCAGGCTAGGCATAGGAGGGCTTCTGCGGGGGCCTGTTCACACCCCAGCTGCGTGGCCTAGCTTCTGCCCGTGGAGCCACGGGTTGAGGCCGCCTAACCCACACCTGGGCTTAGATCCCCTCTGTCCCGGGGAAAGCCTGTGTGGTAGGCTCTCCCAGCTCCCTGTCTAGGGCATCAGAGCCCATGAGTGGGTTTAGCTAGCCAGCTCCCCTCCAACGCTCTTCTCTGAGGCACTGGCGGCCCGTGAAGCCCAGCACAGCCTGGTTGTGTGGACGTGCAGGCTCGCGGGTGCCCTACCTGTCCCCCACATGGGAGCCTCGTCATCTGCCTTGTGTCCCAGCCCAGTTTCCCCAGCCCCCAGGGCCCGGGAGCCGCTTTCCTGTTTCATTTTGGGCAGGAAGAGTGAGGTCGTGTTGTTCTTCCCCCTGCTGCCGGCTCAGGCTGTGGGAACGGTTCCCTGAATGCTTTCCTGTTTGATACCCTGTGTGTGCAGTGAGGGGAGCAGGGGGCAAGAGCAAGGCATGCAGCATGTGCCTCTGGGTGAGTGTGGATGAGCCTACGTCTCTCACTTCCGTGTCTCTGGCATAAGCCCCCAGGTCAAGGCCGGGCATGCTGTGTGTGTGTCAGGGAGAAAGAGGAAAAGGGAGGGCAAGGAGCACTGCATATACTTGGACTCCGTGGGGAGCATCTGGTGGGCCTATTTTGCTTTACTGTGGACCGGCTGGGAGCATCTGCTTGGCCTTTGTCAGTGGCTCCATTTTTTCATCATTTGCTCTCCATGGGGTATGCCTGTGGCTGTAGAGAGAGGACTGTGGCCCCCTAGGGACCATCCTGCACCTTACAGGAAGGTAGGCATGAAGTAGCGACTGAAACTCCCTCATTAGTGCGTCCTCCTGAGAGACCTGGCCTCAGGAAAGGCCACCTCCTCGCCCTCCGCCTCTCCCTGCAGTCAATAAATCCCCGCAGCTCCGGGCGGACCAGGTGCCCAGACTCCGCTCTCTTGGCCAGCTGCAAGGAGGACAGACCTAAGGCAAGCCCCCCCACCCCCAAGACCAGTGCCCTGCTGGGACTGAGAAAAGAGTAGGTAGGTGCCAGTCTATCTAAAACCCTGCAGCGGCAGGAGGAAGGACCCAGATGCCATTCTGGTTCAGAGACCCCATTCTCCAATAAGCGAATCCCCTTGAAAAGAGAAACACAAGCAGGATCATCCCTTCCCCCAAATTCCTGTATCCCCCAGGCTCACTAGGGAGCCCACAATTTTTTCAGGCTTGAGGAGAGAAAGGGAGATAGACTCAGGTCAGGGGGCATATCCCCCAAGTGATGGTGGGGGCATAAGGGGAAACGGGGAGCCACAGCAGCCTCAAGCCGGCAGTCAGGGAAGGCTAGTCTAGGCCTGGGCGTAGATGGGTGAGCTGGGGCTCTGCAAGGACTGGAAGGGGACAAGGGTCGGGAGCACAGCCAGCCAAGCCCGAGTGCGTGTACGGGGTCCCGGCAGTCTTGGCAGGGGCAGGCAGCAGCAGCAGCAGAAGGGGAGTGAGAGGGGGTGGAGAGAGCAGTCCCACTCTGCCATCACAAAGACAGGACCCGAGAAGTAATAAACTCCTGTACACTTCTGTTCCATATTATAAATACACATTATATACAAAATAATGTTATAAAATGTAGAAAGGTCAGTGCTTCTGATTCTTAAATTATTGAAATACTAGACTCCAAAATAAACTACAAAAAAAAAAAAAAACAAAATAAAAACTCATATTATTGATTTCTGAAGATCGGCTTCAAGGGTGGTCTGGGGGCAGTAGTGGGTGTGGGCAAAGCCCAGGCTCGAGGCTGTAGGAATGGTTCGAGGGAGGGAAGGGCCTTGGTGGCAACGGCGCCTCATTTCTCCCTCACTGGAATTTCTAACAACACTGCCCCGAGCCCCCCAGTTAGGCCTGGCTCCCCTGGCGGGCCGATGGGGCAGGCCCTTCACCTGTCTGCCCAGGGGAACGCAGAGGCACCCAAGGCCAGAGGCTGGGGAACAGCCTTGCCCAGAGGGCCAAGGCCAGGGAGAAGCTGGAGGGGTGTTCTGAACAAGGCCCACATGTGGTAGTTGGAGGCACAGGGCAGAAAGTGCTCCTCCCGCTTCAGGCGCTCACCTCACCTGCAGGGCAACTCCTGCCAAGAGCCGCACCCGATGGTATCCTGGCCCACAGATGGCCCTGCCCATACTGGCCTCCTCTCTCCTCTCTGATTCGGACCCAGCTGTCGCCATGGGGCCTGGGCCAAAGGCACTTTTGGAAACACAGATGCCAGTTGAGGCCACAGCAGCTCCAGGCCCCACGGGGCCACTGCTGCTCCCTCCGGAAAACAGGCCAGATCCCCAGAGGGGCCCTGTGAGGGCCACTGCCAGCAGGGCGGGTCCCAGTGGCACCTCTCCTCTCTGCTCCCCTGGCTGGCGCGGCTGCCAGTCTGATGCCAGACAGACACGCAGAGGCATGGAAGGGCACTGCATCTCTTGGCAAGTTCACAGTCTGTCCAGGTCATGCCATTCCCTCTTCCTCCTGAGAGCAGCACGTTGCATATTAAAAATGTCCCATCCAGGATGCAATGTAAACAATGCAGAAGGAAGATCCAGCTGCTGGGGCCGAGCTGGGATGTCCTGGGAAGGCTCCTGCCTTATACCTGGAGATCATGGGGAAAGCAGGGAAGTCGGATACCCTGGCCGACAAGCACTCCCTCCATGGCTGCCCCGGGCCAAGCCCATGAGGCAGGTGGGGCAGCCCTCCCCAGACTTTGGCCCCAGTGCACGCACAGGCCTGGGAGCCTGTGTGCAGGCAGTGGGCCAGTGGAGGAAGCAGTGCGAAGGGGCAGGAGGGGCGCAAGGCAACCACTCTCACCCCCCAGCAGCCCTGTGGCAGTGCCGGGGAGCTGGCCAGGTGCCAGGGCCACCCAGCCCAGCGCGAACACAGCAGGGAGAGCTAGGCCCCACTCAGCCCCCACGGCTCCTGTTTCACACCCTCTGCGGCAACAGGGCCCGCAGGGACCCAAGAGTCACTGCACCTGGCCTGCCAAGGAGGGGTTCTGACCCACCCTTCAGGAGGGGCCCCTGGGGTCCAAAGTCACCAGGCTACTTTCCCATTGCCGAATGGTAGGAGGGGACATGCTGGAAGGGAAGGCGAGCCCGGCACTCACCTCTGTGGCAATGACACATTCGTTCCTCTCTTCTGATATCAAACACACAGACTGGTACATGGAGTCCCTGGGGGAGCATATCGCTGATATCCGACACTCTGGCTTTTCACTGAGGGAACACAAGACAGGCCGGTGAGGGAGGGCTGGGGGTAGGTGGGGTGCTAACCCGGACCCTGGAGAGCCAAACGGCACCTGCTCTGAGAGAAGACATAGGCCCTGGGGATGCCCAAGGCTAGCCTGGGGGGGGGCAGTTAGGAACAGGCCCCCAAGAGAGCCACAGGAACCCCAACCTTACCAGGGTCTCAGGCCTGGAAAAAGCTAGCATTGCGACTCCAGACAAGCCATCCCATGGCAAGATGGAAGTCATAAGAGACACAGTGTGGTCCCTTGACCTTCGTGAATGAATGAATGAATGAATGAGAAGGAGGGACAAAGGACCCCGGGCAGAAATCTTGTCAGAGGAGTCTCCTGTCAGTAGCAAAACCCCCTCTTTGCTTAAAAGCAGTCAAGGGCCTGGTGCCAGCCTTCCACCTGTCCTGGGGGAGCCCAAGGAGTACCATGCAGGGCTCTGTGGCCAGGCCCTGGGCCTCCAGGCGCTGCTCACCTGTGTAACCGCAGTGGCGCCTTCTCCCCTAGGCTCTTATCACCGTGGGAGTACTTCCCCAGCATGGTCCCTCGCCCCAGAGGCCCTGGGGCCAGATTATAGTCCAGTGTGTGGTTCTGCTGTTTGCCACAGTTGGACTTGTCCAGGCCACAGTCCACTTCCAGCTCCTTCTTCTGGTTTGTGTTCTTGAGCTGGGCGGCAGGGATCAGGTTGTCCTTCTGGAAGTCCGACAAGTTGTTCATGGCCTCCCTGCTACCATCGTCAGGCCGCCGAAGCCGCAGCTGCCGCACAGCCACTGCCACCATGCCCAGCAAGACCAGCACCACCACCAGGCCCACACCCAGAGAGACAGCCACCCAGGGGAAGCTGGGTGGCATGCTCACGGGGAACTCGCAGCGGCTGCCCACAAAGCCATAGGGACAGTTGCAGATGAAGCTGTCCTCGGAGAGGCCAGGGTAGCAGGTGGCCCCATTGAAGCAGGGTCCCGAGGAGCAGGCGTCGGCTGGTATCCGCACCTCGCAGCGCCGGCCGGAGAAGCCATCGGGGCAGGTGCACACGAGCCCGTTCTCCAGCTCGTGGCAAGTGCCGCCGTGGGCACAGGGGTTGCGGGCACAGTCGCTGACGTGGAGTTCACAGTGGGGGCCTGTGAATCCAGGACGGCAGCGGCACACGCGGTTAGGACCACGGTTCAGGCACTGGCCCCCTGCGGGGACACATGGGTCACAAGTCAGCAATCGCCTGGGAACCGCCCTGGGGCAGAGGGTGAGCGCCCCACCCCAGACTCCACCACAAAGAGCACTGTACCACGAGTCCGGAGGCCTGGGCTGGAGGGTGCTTCTGGCCCCCTATGCCTTAGGGAGCTCATGTATAAAATGACTAGCATCTTACAGAGCTTCACAGTGGAATCGGACAGGTATGCCTGGGGTCGAATCACAGCTGTGTCTCTCAAGCTGGAGGTGCTCTAGCACCTGTTGCTTTCCCTTATTTGAAGCCTCAGTTTCCTCCCGTGTTAATTAGAGTATGTCTATCTATGGAGCTATGCCCTTCATAGAGATCTCTCTCTGAGGGCTAGGTCAGATGATGCATGAAGGCAGGAACCCATGCCTGGTATATAGTAAATGCTCAAATAAATATAATTATCAGCTAACAAAGTTAACGGAGTGATTAGCCAGAGAACACACTCCATCTCAGCCCTTCCCACCCCTCTCCAGCTCCTGAGGCTTTTCTCCTGCATGCTGCTGTCTGCCTGCCTCACAGAGGGTCATCAGGAGGCCAAGCAGACAAAGATAACCAGCATGCTTTGCACCCCAAAAGATGCTGAACATTTTATTTATTTATTTATTTATTTAAAGATTTTATTTATCCATTCATGAGAGACAAAGGGAGAGAGAGAGAGAGAGAGAAGCAGAGGGAGAAGCAGGCTCCCAAGGAGCAGGGAGCCCGATGCGGGACTCAATCCCAGGACTCCGGGATCACGACCTGAGCCGAAGGCAGACGCTTAACCATCTGAGCCACCCAGGCACCCTATGCTGAACATTTTAGATGCCTGGTGCCATGCCAGGCTCCACGTGGCCATGGGGCAAGGTGAGGCCTTCTGAAGTAGGGCCCTAACTGTGGCAGCCTCCCTCTGGGAGGGACACAAGGCCTCATAGGTCCTCTCCTTAGCCCAGGACTTCCAGCGGAGGCTCAGAAGCCATCCCCACCAGGAGGGGGCTCCAACATGGGAACAGAAGGTGAAGCAGGATGCGCACCACTCCTCCCTCTAAGGCCAGCACCCACTGCCAACCTGCCCCTCTTCCAAAGCCACCAGCTGATGATGCCAACTCTTCACCACCCAGAGCAGGGTGGGACCATCTCAGCCTGCCCAGAGGGACACACCTGGCCTCTCTCCTCTCCTGACTCTCCCTCACCAGAAGGCTCTCTGAGTTGTAAGGCTGGCCCCCTGGGGTTAGCGAGGCAACAAGACTCACCATTGGCACACGGATTGCTGGTACACCTGTCCACTTTCTTCTCACAGTTGGAGCCCATGAAGTTGGGGGGGCATTCGCAGGCATAGCTGGCCCCCTGGCTGCGCTCCCGGCAGGAACCCCCATTGAAGCAGGGGGAGTCTGCACAGCTCAAAGTACTGTGTTCACAGTGCAGGCCATAGTAGCCCGGGGGACACAGGCAGCGGTAGCCATCCTCCTGGTCCTGGAGAGAGGCCGGAAAGAGGCACAAGTGAGACCCTGGGGGGGAAGGATGAGTGGCTTAGGGCCAGACCCCACCTGTCCACAATGCCATGGCCGCGCAGCTCCGCCAGTGGGGCCGCCTGGGCACTCCCTGGCCAGACCTGTGCTGGCCCAAGGCTCACCTTGCAGCTGCCCCCGTTGCGACAGGGGTTGCTGTCACACTCGCTGAGCTCCAGCTCGCAGTCCACGCCAGTGTAGCCCGGGCGGCAGGTGCAGGTATAGCTCCGCTGGCCGCTGTTGGAGCACGTCGCCCCGTTCTTGCATGGGGAGTGGTGGGTGCAGTAATTGAGATCTGCAGAGATAGGGACCAGCCAGCTGAGCAGGGCTGTCGAATGATCCCCACCTCCAGGCTCCTTGTAGTGCAAGTGCACTGTCCGTGTGTGGCCCAGAGGCTCCAGCCCAAACTCGTCCCGGCCCAACTACCCTTCTTCCTTGACCCACATCTGACCTGTGCAACGAACCAAAGTTTAAAAAAAATACAGCTGGACAACTGCCTACTAGGTAAGCTCACAGCCACTGGCCACCAGGGTAGAAGGAAGGGAAGGAATTGAAGCCGATGGCAAGGCCCCATGCGGAGGAGGAAGTCCGAAAAGGCTTCGTGGAGGAGGGGCAGCTGAGATAAGCCTGGAAGGAGGGAGAAAATGTTAACAGGTGCAAATGGTAGCGAGGAGGCAAGAGCCACTCTAAGTAGCGACCAGGCACTTTGTAAAGGGAAATGTGTTATGAGGGTATTTTTAAAATATAAGTATTTGTTTTCTTATTTGGGAAGGACAGGGAGGGAGCAAATAGAGAGCAAATAGAGAGACTGGAAGGGCTGTGTTTGCCTATGATGAGTATATGACTGTGTCACCTGGGAGCAAATGTGGGGCGAGGAAAGAGAGTGGGCAGGAACAGGTGTGTAAGTGTGTTTGAGGTAGAGGAGATGAGGGAGAAAGCAACACACACACACACACGCACTCACGCACGCACACACAGAATAAAGGGGCTGAATTCCAAGCCCCTGTTGCCAGCAAGTCAGGGCCCAGGCAAGTTCTTTCTAGCCTGGCAAGCCCCCTGCCCACCCTCCCAAGGCTTGTGCTGGTGTCTCCATGGCAGCAACCACCCTCTTGGACCCTGGAAATGGGAGGCACACGCTGCAGCTGGCTACAGGATGAGGAGCAAAGTCCCCCTCCCCCACGGTTGGGGCTGGCCAACCCCTACAGAGCCAGAGGGACCAGCGGCCCTCCCAAACCCAGAGAGAGACTTGGGCTCAGGCAGCTGCCTGGCAAGCGCCACTGGGGAGGAACAAGGGGGCCGTTTCTGCCCCACACCAAGAAGTCGGTTAGATGTCACTCCGCCCAGGGGCACAACTTGCCCACAAACTCAGGGCAGCTGGTGGGCACACCCCACCAGACAGCTGTTTAGGGGAGAGCTGCTCAAACAGCGCTGGCTGGTAAGCAAACACTTAGGGGGTTAATAGGTAACTACAAGGTAGAAAGAGGAACTGAGCCCAGCATCCCTCCTCCCGGGCCTTGCTGGAATTTGAGTGCGACCTCCAGGCTGTCAACCTGTCGTGCTCCTGGCTTCTCCAGCCACCCTGCCTCCCCAGCACCTGAGCAAGAAGGACGCACCCTCTCCTTCGAGGCCAGTTGTTAGGATCCTTAAAAGTCCCAAGCTCCTTGAAGGATAATGGGAAAGCCAACGGGGCAGTCACCAAATCAGAAGGGCGACCGCTCTGGTCCCCACGCCCGGCCCATCTCTCCCACCCCCTCTGCGTCCTCTCTCTGCCCCAACTCACCTTGATCACAGAAGAGGCCGCCCCAGCCCTCATCGCAGGTGCATTGCCAGGGGATGCTGCAGGTGCCGTGGCGACATCCATTGTGGGGGATGCATTCGTTGCAGAGGCGGCCCTGCCAGCCTGGGCGGCAGCTGTTGAACAAAAAGGAGGCTGAGGGTGAGGTGAGGGCTTGGCCAGGGAGGGGACGGCTCCCTCCTCGCCCACTTCCTGTCCCCTGCTCACATGCACTCCGCTGGCTTGCTGCAGTAGCCGTTCTGTTCATGACAGCCAGAAAGACAGATAGCTGAGGAAAGAAAACAGAGCCAGGTGAAGTTGGAATGCCAAGGAGTCTGCAGCCCCGCTCTCCCTCTCCTGGCCCTGGGGGTGGCCCCAGCTCTACTAGGCTCACTTCCCACTCCTGGCCTCCCAGAGGAGCCACGGGCATTATAAAGGGCAACGGTGGCACAGGGCAGGAGAATCCCGGCTAGATGGAAGGTGGTAGCGGGGTCCTTGTGGGCTCTGGCAAGATGGGGAGGAGCACTAAGAAGAGACAGATCAGAGTCCACGCCTGTCCTAAGCATCCCCACCTGTTCCTGAGGCCCGGCTAGTGGGCAGCCCAGACCTGTTCTGTGAGGGAGGTAGGCTGTGGCTGTAAAGAGGCCACTGTGTTGGCTCCGGGGACCCCTGCCAGGGAGGCAGGAGCTTGGCTGCTTACGCTCTTCGCAGTACTCCCCAGTCCAGCCGGGGAGGCAGGACAGGCTGCCATCTGGCTGGCACACGTAGTGGCCGAAGTGGTCATTGCGCTTCTTGCACAGGCGTGAGCAGCTGTCCCCATAGTAGTTGTCACTGCAGATGACCCGGTAAGAGTAGCGCAGCCTCGTGGGGGGGCTGGTCTGCTCATCCAGTAACCAGTTCTTGCCCACAGCTAGGGAGCCCTGGATGGCGATCTTGCTGATGAGGGCGTCTGGTGGCAAGGCCTCTGAAGGGGCAGAGGGCCAGGTCAAGGAAGGGCAGCCAGTCCCGAGAGTGCCAGCAACTGCTGGATCAAACCAGCTGTCCAGATGACCCCCACCTGCCAGCAAGCACAGGCCAGAGGAACCCAAGTGTCCCACTGCTTAGGTGCCGCGCGCGCATGCGCGCGCGTGTGTGTGCAGACGGCCTGATATCATTCAAAAAGGGGACAACAGAAGGATGTTAAAATACCCCAGTGTTCTGGAGGCAGGTAGACCAGGAAAGAGGAAAAGAGGTCAAAATGGGGAAGAAAAAAAGAAACAGTGAGAGAAAGAGAGAGTGAGAAGGAGGGAGGGAGAGAGAAAGAAAAGAAGAGGAAAGGAAAGGAAAGAAGGAAAGAAAAAAGAAAAGAAAAAAGCAAAGCCAGGCCGGGGAGGACCCTGGGAGCAAGGGGTCCTCTGGTGCCCATTCACGGGTTCTGCCCTCAGAGATGGGTAATGCTTTTCTTTTTCCTTTTCAAAGTGAGAATTGTTGTGCTGCTGAAATATCCTTTTCCTCTGTGTCAGAACAACATCCCAAAGCCATTATTCCCTTTCCAAAGGAGCGGAATTCGCGAAAGGTGTAAAATACAGGAAGGGGCCCGTCAGCGGCGCTGGCAGCTTCGGCCTTTCTCACCGCCGTGCTCCCCGCGTTCCCACGCCAAAAATAACCCGCAGGAAACGCAATTGTGCTCAGAGTCCAGGCAGCGAGCGGAATCCGAGCGTGCAGCGCGGGGCGCAGCTCCAGGCCGAGCTCAGCGTCCTGCCCCCCCCACCCCCCACCCCGCACTTCCCCCGCCTATTACAGGTTAACTCTTTCGGCGCTGCGCCGTGTCGCCCCCCTGTGGCGGCGGAGCGAGCTACTCACCTGGCCGCAGGTCGTCTCCTGGCGCGTGCCAAGCTTCGATGATGAGTGAGAAGGTACCCTGGAGGGCAAGGGAGGGGGCGGGGGAAGACAGAGAGAGAACGAGATGAGCAGGGGCGGGGGAGGTGGGGGTGCCTTGCGGCCGCGGGTTTAATTAATCTAATTGCAGGATACAGTTACAGCTCCTGGGTCAACATAGCGGGTCTGTGCGCAGCATCGCGCGAGCAGGGAAGGTGAGAGGAGAACCCCGAGTAGGAGGGTTAGGAGATGGGGGGGGCATGTTAGCGAGAGTCATTCGAAGGTGGGAAACGCGCCGGGTTAATAAGTGATGAAAATCATACCCCAAGAATTGGGAGGAGAGAGGGCATAGAACTGGGAAGAGGGAGACTGGTGAGAGCCTTCCTGAGGATGAGGTCCCAGGAGAGAGTCGGAAGAAAGTATCAAAAGAGAGCGCCCTTGTTTTTGGTTTGGTTTGGTTTGGTTGGAAGCGAGGAAATCTGGGGGAGGGCTTTGGTCCCAGGGAGCCCCCTTCTCGCCTTTCGTGACCTCCCAGTGCACCCAGGCTGTGCTCACCGGCCAGGTGAAATTGAAAGGCAGTTGAAGAGGGTTGCGTCCCCCGCCGCTACTATCGTCCCCGACGGCGAAGGAGTTGGTGCCCAACACAGGCGTAGAGACGCTGCCGAAGGTGCAGGGCCCGGGCGACACGACCGCCTGGAAGTGCTTAAGGCAGACGCGGAAGAAGGTCCTGCAGCCGGGTTCGCACGGCCGCCCGCTGGCCAGTACGCCTCGCTCGTTGGCAAACTCCTGCAGCTGCAGCTGGAAGACTCCGGAGCAGGCTGCGCGCTATTGCACAGGAACCGAGAGAAGGAAGGAGGGGAGCGGTCAGCTCGGCAGACGCCCGGGGCTCAGGCTCCGGGCGCGGCGGGAGGGGGTGGAGGGGGCGCGGGACGTTACCTGCTGCCAAAGTGCCACCAGCAGCAGTAGCGCCCAGCCAGAGGCGCTACAGGACGCGGCTGCCATCCCCTGGAGCGTCGCTCTCTCCCCGCGCCCGCCCTGGAGCTGGCTTCGTTCGGGACGCCGCTTTCCCGCGCGTCTGTCCGCCGGAGGGGGTCCCTGGAAAGCCAGGCTCTTCTGGGGCTTTCCTCCCGCTTCGCCTTCTCGCTAGCTCTGCTCAAACTGCGGCGGTAGGTAATCCAGGTGAGGGCGGCTGGGCGGCGGCCGGGCTGAGGACGTGTCCTCGGGCTAATCCTGGGGCTGCAAGCCGGCTAGTGCCCGGTACACTGCACTGAGGCGGCTTGAGCTGCGGCTCTTGGCCTCGTGTTCCCAGCTTGCGCTCTGCGCCGCTACTGAAACCTGCGCGCTCGGGAGCCTTCCTTATATATATTGGCTCCTCTCTTCGCCGCCTGTCACTCAGAACCCATGGTCACTCTCCCCTCCCCTCCGGGCCTCTAGCGCTACAGCCCCAGCAGGGCCTGGAGGGGGCCTCCGCCCCCGCCATCCCCCGTCCCCGCCAGCCAGTCACGCACAGGACCCCGCCCCTCCGTGCCGCTCTCAGCCCCTGGGTCCCCTAACTCTGCGCGTGCCAAGGTGACCAGTTCTCCGCGGCCGAGGGGTTAAGGTCCGAGACCCCGGCTGTGAGGGGAGGGGGAGGGCCTGGGGGAATGGGGCGGGAGGTGAGCGAGTGGTTCCCGGATGGTCGTGGAGGCGGAGACACTGGGGAGTCCCCGTGGGCGGTCCGTCAGCAGCCGGAGCTAGTTACCTTCAGCCTTCGAGCAGGTACAAAGAATTTAAGCTCGGAAAGCGAAAGCAGGGTCGAAGGACTCGAATCTCCTTCTTCCCCGAGCCTTGGACGCTGTCGCCGCCTCAGTCCCCAACCTGTGAGCGCCCACCCACCTCGCGTCCCCGGCGCAACAGAGAAGCCAGCGGACGCTTTAACCTCTCTGTGGCCACACGGGGCAAGGCGAGGGCCTTGAGTCTAAGACTCGGGGGCTCTCGGGGGCTTTCTCCCCCCTCCTGGTGGGCGTCTCCCTCCCTAGCTGCGGGGGGCGTGTCCAGCGCGTGCCTTCTCCCTTCTGCCCCCAGCCTGGACTCTACTGGTGCCAGCCCCTAGACGCGTGGTCGGGGAGACAGGGGAAGGGGGCGTGGTGCCCGAGGTAAGAGAAGGGGGGCGCGTCCTCAGCTGTATGGTAATGAGGTCTGGCCCCTCCCCCAGCGCCTCCCCTCACCTGGGTTCAGCTTCAGCTCCACTGCCCACCGTCTGCCCCCACCCCAGCAGCCCCAAGCCCCCACCCGCGTCCTGTCGCTCCGTTGGGGCAGGGAGGAACTCTCCTGGCTTCCAGCGTTGGCTCAAGCCACTGGAGAGTCCTGGTGAGGGGCTGAGGTCGGGCAGACCCGGCTCATCTCCTCATAGGGGCGAGATGGAAGGTGGAACTGAAAGCGCGCGGACTAGTTCGGGTTTCAGACGGCTTCGCCAGTCTTGCCTTTGCGGCTTCCCCGGGTGGCCCCACTCCGAGCGGCGGCAGTACAGCTGCTTTCCCGGAACCCGGCGTGATCCCCGGAGGCCTTAGACCGGGGAGGGCCGGCTTCTCCCAGTCTCGGGGGGTGCCGGGGATCTCTCTGTCTCTGTGACGCTGAGGGCAGTGGGGGCCCGGTGGCTTCAGCTGTCAGCCCGCACAGCGATGGCTGTCGTCGAGCGATAAGATCGGCGCGGGGGGGGGGGGGGGCGCGGCAGCCTGTGGGCTGGGGTTCCTGCCGCCTCAGCCCACGCCCCCCCCACAAAACGTGGCGTCCCATCAAGTTCAGAGCAGCCGCAGGAAGACGGGAGGTGCGAGCGCACAGGCCAGAGCTCGGTTTGCTCCGTCATCTCAGGATTCACGTCCTCCTGCCGAACCCTTCCGATCTCTCTCCTC